AGTGATGTTATTCGCCATATCTGTATAATGGGCTGTACAATGGAGAGAGAAGAGCAGTGAGCATAAGGAGCTAAAAGTTTAATTGGAAAGAGTGTAAAGCAAATACTTCATTATTAAATGTTTTTTATCTTCATTAACACAAAATGTAAAATGGTCCTTCAATCATACAATCTTCCAATAGAAGAGAATAGTAGAGATATTGGACTGTATAGGCCTGTTTAGCTATTCTGTACCCCAGCAATATCTAGGTCGCTTAATCTCAATGTTTAAAGAATGGGCAAAAATGCTTGCCAATTATTTATAACTTAATCTGGAGATAACGCCTGGTTTTTATTACATATTAATTTAATTCTTCAAGTGGGGAACATTGAGTCAGTGGCAGCAAATTGATGTGTCACCTCCTGCCTCTGTGTTTGCTTCCATTATGGTGTTTTCTCAGAAGGCTGCTGCATTTCACCCTTCCTTCTTTCAAAGATTAGTTAGTATTCAGCAAATACCAAGAAGCACACTGATTTTATTTGCATTTAGCTCAGATAATACTAACAAGCAATGCACACACCATGCATCTTTGTAAATGGAGACACCCAGATATTGCCTGTTTTATTTTCTCTCTGAACAGTTGCCTCTTTGGCATCCTTCCTGGCAGGTGCTGGAAGAGCTTTTTCACAAAATAATTATACTAGTAGGAAGCTTGACAAGTCTGTAAAATTTAAGTTTGGGTTATTGTAATCCAGTGATTTAGCTTTTTTGAAATGAAGCCAACTCTGTTTTAGTTAGGGTGGGACATCATCTGCTGTAGGGATAAATTACACACAAGCTATGTAGATTTGGCAGATTTCTGAACATATTTCCATGAAAGACACTTTCCTCAAAATTACTGTACAGGTAGTCCTCACTTACTGACTGCCTCATTTGGTCACCATTCAAAGTTAAACTAGTGCTTACATTAAGGATCTTTGTAAGACCCTCAGTGATGTGATCCTCATTGTAATAATTAAGGATTGTCCTGACCTGTTGTTTTATTCACTTCCCCCTTGCAGAGTAGAGAAAAAGGGATTACAAGAGAGTGAGCAGGCATGTGAGGAATTCACATTGAAAGCAGTGTGCTGGTGCTGGCAGCCTGGAGTGAATTATGCAAAGTCTGGCATATCTGCCTGCTTACTGTCTTAATCCCTTTCTCTTCAATGAAATTGAACATTCCAAAGAGTGGGGAAGTGGTTGGGGACGAATAACAGTGGAAGGTATGAAACTGATTAATCTTGTCAGTTTTAAGCCAGTGATCCCAATGCCAGAAGGGCGAGCATTCCAAAATTGGGGAGTGAGGAAAGAAAAACACAGTCCCAGTGCCATGATTTCCTATTTAGCAACCATTTTGCTTAGCAACAGAGTTGATCCCAGTTGTCATTGCCAAACAAGGATTGCCCATAATGAGATTTTTAAATGAAATTTAATATTCATGTTTGCCTGTTGTCTAGTTTTGTTTTGTTTCTTTGGCTGTGAGTGAGGAGAATCAAATTTGGCAATACCTACCGAAAATTGACAAAACTTCATATTTTTTCCATCTAATATGTTGTTTGTGTTGACTCAACATTCCATCCTTGCGAGGTCAGTAAAATGGGGACCCGGATTGTTGGGGGCAGTATCATGACTCTGTAAACCATTTAGAGAGAGGGCTATAAAGCACTATGAAGAGGTATATAAGTCTATTGCTATTGTGAAATCTCACCCACACTTTTGGTGTTGAGGGCTTTTGATTGTTGGCCTAAAAAGTGCTGTTTTAATGTTGTTGTTTTTTTAAGAGTTAACTTTCTTATGTTGAAATGGTGTCATAATTTAAATAATTAGAAAATGTTTCATATGGGATCATCAGACTAACTCTGAAACTAGGAAGCATGGCTGTTGCAGCCTTCATCACTATCATTGTAGCCTGCCAATGGAATGGGTGATAATGTTACTTATTTTAGGAGCAGTTAACTAAATGGAATGTAAAAGTATGATAACAACAAGAATAAAAACAGTGTTCTGATTTTTACTTTCTACTTTCTTCTCCTTATTATGACATCTTCCTAAGTAGCCTTTCCCTGGAGTCTTCTAGGAATTAAAAACAAACAAAATTCCTTTGAAGAGAGTTGGACTCTTGTTGACTACATGGAGAGATAGTTTGCTATTTCCTTTTATTTTTAAATCTTTGCAGATAAAATATCTAATGAAAAAGACATGTGGGTTGCATTGCTTAAAGTTCTTTCCAAATAATATAAAGTCATTATTCAATTATAAACAGCTTGTGGTTTTAATATATTTATGTCCTACTGTTCCTGGTTGACCTCAATAAATAATAACGATGTATAACAACATGAAAACAATACATGCATAAAATAGTAATAAACTTTAAATAATTTTGAAAATATCTTAACATTGTGATGACATTAAGTTGGTATGCACTCTTACTTAGCAAACAAAAAAGCAGCACACATATTTAGAAATCTGATTCACACATTTATCATTTGTTTTTGATAAATCTTGAATCCTGGTTTACATCTTTAATTTCTGTGTATCTTGTGGGCTAGAGGCGATAGAGCAGCGATTCTCAACCTGTGGGTCGCGACCCCATTTGGGGTCGAATGACCATTTCATGAGGGTCGGCAAACAAGGCTGTCCGCCATTTTTCCCCTTTTCTTTAACTGTGCTACTCCCTTTTATTCTATTGGCTGGTGGTGGCCAAGGTAAGGCTAGCGGGGCAGTGGCGGATGCAGGGAGGATTGCTGGCGCGCATGGGGCCCGGAGGGTACCTTACCTGCCTGGGCTGGGCCAGCTGGTGGCCCAGCCGGTGGTCACCCTGCGCCGTTGCTGCCGCTTGCCGTGGCCGCCCAGGAGCGCCTGGGCCTGCCTGCCACCGCCCCAAACGGGGAGTGGCTAAGGTAAGGCTAGCGGGGCAGTGGCGGGTGCAGGGAAGGTTGCTGGCACGCGTGGGGCCCGGTGGGTGCCTTACCTGCCTGAGCTGGTGGCCCAGCCGGTGGTCGCCCTGCGCCGTCGCTGCCCCTTGCCAGCTAGGCCTCGGCTGGCGCAGGGGGCGGCACCATGCATGCGCGGTGCTCCCGGGCAGGGAAAGTCCTCGACTTACGATCGGTTGGGTAGTCCTCGACTTACGACCAGTTGGGTAGTCCTTGACTTACGACCGGTTGGGGGTCACGGCATTAAAAAGGTTGAGAACCACTGTGATAGAGTAATGGAAAACATTATGTACAGTGAATATTGTTGAAATTATGTTCAATGGTGAAAAATTGATTACTATTTCTTAGGATAGCTGATTGTTTGGTCCACATACTCTGCTTACCTAAATTCTACTCCAGTATAGAAGACTTAAGAAATTCTTGGTAAAAACCTACAAACTGTTGTATATCAGGTCTATCAGGCTAATATAAATATCTTGTTTATAGTAAATAGAATTTCTTGCAGTTGCAATCAATTTGTTTATCCATTCATTCATTCATTCATTCATTCATTAGATTTTTATCCTGCTTTTATGATGTCATAAGTAACTCAAGGCAATCAACATACATCATACTCCTTCCTCCTCTTTTTCCCCACAACTATGTGAGGTGTGTTGGGCTAAGAAAGAGATACTGGTCCAAAGCGTCTGCAATACTCAACATACCAAGTTGAGAACATGACTGTGTTGATGTCTGGATTGTATATAAGCATGACAATAAAGTTACCCAAAATTGTCATAAGTATGACAACAAAGTCATCCAAAAGAACTTTTTATGAATTTTTTAAGGCTAGTTTTATTTTAAAACTATATCTTTGTTTTGGAAACTATATTTTTGAAAATAAACACATGTTTTTTTATTTTAACTGGATTATAAATTGGAAATTGAAATTATGAGGGTTTTCATTTTTATACCATACAGAAACTCACCATTATTATGGTAAGATTTTAAAAATCCATGATTTTGCTTAGTGTATTGATAGCCTTCAGCTGACTTCCTTTTAAGGAAAAGCTCAATACCTGGGTGACTTCCAAGGGATGATTTATGGCAGATTTGATGTCCTTGAAGGAGGTGGGATGGCTTTGTGGTAGTTTTGGAAACCATACAGAAAATGCTGGCTGGTACAGTTTTTCTGGATAAAGGAGAGATCACGAGATCACCCATTTGCACTCTGGAGAGTTGTTCCTCATGAGTACACCTAAGGAATTGGGTGGATTTTTTTAGTTGACTCATGAGTTGAATGTCTGGGAGTCAAAGGATTTCAATCAAGCTAATAGCCATAATGCAGCCTATATGGCCACAAATGCTATGAAATGATTGTGATTGGGCATGCATGAAACTCCTCATACTTCACATATTGTAGCAGAAAAAATTAACCTGCATAGAGGAACAGAGAAATTTCCTCCCAGTTGATTTCAGAAACTGATAGACAGTTATAAGAAATGCCTACTTGGGGCTTTTGGGTTGGAGAACCATGGGTGTACTTACATTTTCCACAGAAGAAAATGGCATATCAGATTTTTTTTTTGAAAAAATGATGGCAAAGTAAATTGTTATAGCTTTTTGTTCAGTTTTATCATCTTTATCTTTATATACTGATGAACGAACAGGAAATATTGATATGTCCACACAGAAAGAAGAAAAAGCTACATTGGGTGTACTTTTTACATGAGGGTTGCAATGCCAGTTGGGTTTTTTTTAATCCAAGATGGTATTTTAATACTCCAGTAAAGAATTCACTTTTATAAACAAATAAAGCTAGTTTTTAAAGGTTATTTTTTTAAAATAGACATTGGAAACTTCATAGTGTTTGGGATGCCTTCAAGGCATGTAATTGTGCTCACGTCTTGCATATGATATCTTCATGGAAAAAGATGAGTCAAAAATGTAAACATTTGAAAAATAAATTGAAGAAAGGTTTGAGGAGCCATGTAAAACAGTGTATACGAAAATTATATAAAGTGTTTTGGTTTACTAATTCAAACATAATTCCAACCATTTGTATTTCAGACAGAATATTTATTGAACTGTGTAAAGCAAAATTATTTGGAGTGATGGGAAAAACTTGGTAAGTTATTGTCCTCTCGAAACGACAGCAACAAATAATATTATTTCTACTATTAAGGACGCTGAACCCAAAGTATATGGCAGTGATCTAATACATCAGGAATGCTTGGTTTTGTTTGTGATTTCATAAAAATTAGGAAAGCTTTTTCAGTCATATTTTACAAAATGTAGCAGTTGAAGTTAAAACATCAGAGGCAGGAATCACAATTTTACTAAATTTGATCAAACTTGATCTACTATGCTTGTGACAAGCACAAAGGCATTTATTATTTGTTCCCCCCTTTTTTGCTTTACATTTTTTATATTTTAGCATCTTTCTTATGCATTGCAGATTTGTGTTATCTAGTTACGTGATAAAAATTTTTGAACCACTGTTCCACATAATAAATATTTGGAGCAACTTTTGGCCAAATAAGGAAATAATTGGATCAAAATAGAACATCGTGACTCTTTGAATGGAACATTATAAGTGGAGTTTTATTTTATTTATTTTATTTATTTATTTTCTATAGCCATCCGTTTGAAACAAGTGACCTTGGATGTTTTATTAAAAAATTAGAAACAGCTGCAACGTAGTACAAAATTAGATGTATGGTAGCCAAGAAAAAAATCCCATCATAGACATCAACATAGCCAGGATATAGAGCCCTTCACACAGTTAGGACTCCAGACCTAGACACAAAGGTCTTCAGGGCCAACAATGGTTTGAGTCATCCTTACTTCTGAAGGGAGAACATTCCATAGGGTACAGGCAATGGCAGAGAAGGCATTTCTTCTAGTCCCCAGACAGCTGACATTGCTATAGTGACAAGATTTGTAGCATGTCCAACCTACTGGACTGAATTGGATGGGTAGAAACAACTGGGAGAAGGAGAAGGTAATCAGTAGGCAATCTGGTCCCAAGCCATGAAGGGATTTAAGAGAGACCAGTATCCTGAATTGCATCCAGAAACACACATGCAGTCATGCTCATCTAATATCCGACAACATTTACTATTCATATAGCTGCCTTTGCACAAGCTAAAGCTTCCAAATGCTTTTCAAGCACAGCCCTGGGTAGAGCATATTGCAGTAATCCAAACAAGAGGCCACAAGGTCATGAGTGACTATGAGCAGAGCCCCACTTAATTCCTCACTTATTTAAATGACATAAACCTATTTTAAAAAATAGGTTGCAACGGAAATGGTTTGTCAGGATATAAATATATTTGTTGTTCCCACATTGATATTAATATGAATAAATATGTTCAAATCCCATTGAGCTTATGGAAAAAGATAAGTATTGTAAAACTGATTATCACTTGAATATTGATATATGATCTTAGAGAGATTCTTGTCTTACCTTTTCACATTTTTCAAGTGGATTGATGTTTTTGAACCCAAGTTTTATAGAAAGGACAAAAACAGAGATCTTCTTTATCTTAAATTATAAATAACGTATGATTGGGGGGGGGGGGCTGATATCCAATCACCTTTATCACTGACAAATACTTCTATTTCTCTAAGGAACCCAAGAGATGGATTTAAGAATCTTTGTGAGATAACTGGAAAGTTACTGTATATCTCTCTAACTTCATGGTGGGCTTGCTTCTTTGTTTACTAAAAATGTTATTGAAAAGTTGGAGAAAGCTGAAATTAAGTTTTTTTTTTGTACTTAGTGTCTTAGGTTAACTTTGTCTAAAATTGGAGAGTGGTTGAGACAATGAATTTGGAATGTATATTACAGCTAAAAAGGCTCTCAAGTTGGATTTAAAAAAAAGTAGCATTGTGGACACTTTGGTTAGCTAACTCAAAACATGCAACAGAGAGAGGAGAATGTACGATAACTTTTATTCAATGTTTTGTTGCTGTTTGGGGTTTTGTTTTTTGGCAAGAGTTCCCAGTGATCACGATTAACTATATCAAAACCTACACGCTCAAATGTGGCAAAATATAATTGTAATTGAAGATAATTGATAATTAAATGAAACCTGAGTCGATGAGTGAACTGAAAAAAGTAATATTTTGGGTGCTTTCATAATTGTTTGACAATAAAACCAGATGGGTTTTGTTGGCTGATATTAGAAGCAAAGTGAGACCATCCTGGTTATTACCAGGAGACTACTTGGAAATTCCAGGGTTTAACATTGGTCTGATCAGGGCTTGGCAGTAAATTTCAATCTCCTGACTTCACACAGATTAATTTGACTGCTAGGTTTGGACTTAGCATAGCTAGATAAGAGACTTTATTAAAAATTAGTATCTTAGGACAATTGATTGTCCACATCAACATGATGCTACAGTTTACCCCCTTATATCAACAACATTTTAAATCTGTTGCTGCTGCTTCTCATATTCCAGTGGTTGTGTGCTTCATTGAAGCTGAGCATTTGTTGGCGGTTGACGTAACTGTCCTTAGAATTGCTGGCTCTTCTGATTATTTCTCACAGAGCTCACAGAACGGGGAGTTGAAAATACATACTTGAAATAGTGAATAGCAAACTCCTTCCTTAATATTGCCAAGAAAATTGGCATGGGTTCTGTCACCATGGGTCAAGTTCAACTCAAGGGATCTTTACCTTAGCTTAATAATGTTACGACAAGAAATTTATACTTAAAAACTGTGCTTAATATTCTGTAGGAGTACTGCTCGACAAGATAGTTGCATATAAAACAGGTCTTTTTATAACTTTTAAGAGTAACTATAGGCTTATGGGAATCTGCTGATTAATATAGAGCAGTATCTTATTAACCTCTGGCTTCAATAAGCCATTTAAATAAATACCTTAATATAAAGTCATTAAAAGGATATTTTTAGCATGGTAGCCTTTAACCATTAAAGAAACTTGAATGAGAATTATATTTACTGCATTTTTCATGTTATTTGTCTACTATGGGGAATTAAATTACTAAGACTTACTGGTGAAAGATAAGGATTGAGTAAATAGTAATAGAAGTAGCATTTAGAAACCTGAAACACCTGACTAGGAAAATGCTGTTTCTAGTAGCTCTAACTTCTGCAAAGCAGGGATCAGAAACATATATCATTCCTCCAAGGAATTCTGCATTGGCCACCTGGACACTATAATTGTGCATGTAGAACAAACCTTTCTGACTAAGGAGAATCAGATGTTAGAGACTTGAAGCAATCTTTTCTTCTTTCTGTCTCAGATTAGACAAGGACTGGCACCGATGGACATTAGATGAGTCATCAAGATATTTCTGAACAGAACAGAACAGGGATTCAGCATTTTGAATAGTCTCACAATAGTCATTGGACAGCGAGGCCGTGATTTCAAGGTTAATTAAGGCCTGCATCAAACTAGCATGTGAGACCAAACATAAGCCACAGGAGACTGTGATTCACCCCACTAGAAGAGGAGATACCTCGGCCACTTAACCTAAGTGAAGCAATTTATTACAGAAAAATAAATTCAGGAACAGCAGGAGAAAATAATGTCTTTCAGAAAATTGTACGCATGCTTTTATTAACACTTTTAATTGTAAGCCAGCCAGAGTTGTTGAAAATCACACAACCTATAAATTGTATAAATTCACGTGATCCTAGTTTAACGACCACTCCTTCAGTGACTGTGAAGACTTATGATAATACTGAACAAGTAGTTACAAGTGAATCTTTTACTTAACAGCTTTCACAGCATCTCTGCGGTCACATGGTCATGATTTGCATTCTTCTTTGCTGGCTTCCCACAAGCAAAGTCAAGGGAGAAACTGGCAGGAAGTCAGAAGCTGTTGTGATATGAGATTCTCACATAACCGCCCACGTACTCTCCTTTAGCAGCAACCATCACCAAGTGGTCTGGTAATGTGGTTTTTCAACTTATGACAGCGTCATTAACAAGAGAGTTTCTGGCCTCTTCAATGTCACTAAACAAGGAGTAGTGATAAGAGTTAATTTTGAGAGCGCCCTCAGCCACATGGAAAAGCATATCTTTTATACTCCATTCCAGTCCATCCTGACATTTACAGGAGAGGTGGTTGGTGGAAATTGGGCAATTATGTTAAAAAAGGGTATGGTTAAGAATCTGGAGGTCCCTTGGAATTGAGCTTGAATGTTAGCAGACATTTTGACCCAAGGTATTTTTTTAAAAAAAATTTCTAGCACCATTTGCATTGCATATAATTGATTTGAGGCAATTTATGACAGGGTTGCATGGGCAGCATTTTTAGGGCCAGGGGTAGACGGTAATGCCATTTCAGATGTAACTGCGCTTCAGCCTAGCTTTGCTAGATGCCAGTCTGCCATAGACTATGTGTGGAGGGAGCTGCTGGGAGGGGAAAACAGAAACCACTCATCGTGCCTTCCCAAGACATTGGCTCATTGTCCCAAGGCAAGACGCCTGGAAGTGGAATGCAACGGCTCATCATCTACCCACCAATGCAGGGAATGTTACTCAAACAATTCCTTCTAATGTAATTGGGCAATAGTAAGATAATAGGGGTAAAGATCGGGAAAGGGAAAGTTACCGTATATGCCGGCGTATTAGGCGACCCGGCGTATAAGACGACCCCCGTCTTTATCGCAGAGCCGCATTCCTAGAACGTCGTCTTATACACCAGAAACTACCAGTATTTCCAGCGTATAAGATGACTCGGCATATAAGACGACCCCCGTCTTTGGCGCCGAGTTTAGCGCTTCTGGAAGTCGTCTTATACGCCGGCATATACGGTAACTAGGACAGGGGTCCTCAACCTTGGCAACTTTAAGACTTGTGGACTTCAACTGCCAGAATTCCTCAGCCCTGGGAGTTGAAGTCCACAAGTCTTAAAGTTGCCACGGTTGAGGACCCCTAAACTAGGGAACCTTCGCACGTAAACTCTTAATTCTGGCTTTGCTGTACCGTGACCATTTGGCTTTTAGTAAAAAGTATACCTTTCACACAAACGGAGTCAAGGGTCTTTTTTTCCTAGGAGCCCAAGATGGGGCAGGTGCGACACTAACATAGTCTTTATTTACCTGCTGCTACTGACATTTCTGCTGAACATTTGTTTACATTCATA